CTAAGTGTCCATCAATAGACAAATGGATAAAGAAAAGACAGTGTATATACACAATGGAATGTGACTCAGCCATAAAAATGAATGANGACAAATGGATAAAGAAAAGATAGTGTATATACACAATGGAATGTGACTCAGCCATAAAAATGAATGAAGTCCCTCCATCTGCAACAACATGGAAGGACCTCAGGAGTATTATGCTAAGTGAAATAAGTTAGACAGAGAAAGACAAATAACATATGATTTATTCATATATGGAATCTATAGAACAAAATAAATGAACAGAACAGAAAGAAACTTATAGTGACAGAGCATCTTGAACATAGTTACAGAACCATTTTGATGGTTGCAATATGGAAGAGGGGTTAGAGGTTAGTCCTAGATGGCTTCACACTTTAATTTTACCAAACATTCAAAGAAGAGTTAATGCTTATCTTTAAACTATGCCAAAAAAGTCATGAGGAGTGAAGGCTCCAAAGCTCAATTTATGAAGCTAGCATTACCCTGATTCCAAAACTAAGGGCATTATAAAAAATAATTATAGGCTAATATTTCTGATGAACATAGATGCAAAAATCATAAATAAAATGCTAGTCAATGATTTTGGCTGTACAGCATAATCAAGTGGGATTTATTCCTGGGATGCAAGATTGGTTCAATATCTACAAATCAATTAAAGTGATACACCACATAAACAAAATGAAATATAAAAATAATATGATTATTTAATTGATGCAGGAAAAGAACCTGACAATACCCAGCACCCATTTATGATAAAAACTCTCAACAAAGTAGGAATAGAGGAAACACCTCAACATAAAAAAATACATATATGACAAACCCACAGCTAACTTTATAATCAACTGGGGGAAATACTAAAAGATCAGAAACATGACAAGAATGTACACTTTTACACTCATGTTCAACATCGGACTGTAAGTGCTGGCTATAAAAATTAGACAGGAAAAATTAAAGACACTCACACCAGAAAGGAAGCAAAACTGTCATTTCTTGCAGATGTCATGATACTATATATAGAGAGAATCCTAAAGATTCCACGTACACACACAAAATATTAGAACTAATAAATGAATGGAGTAAAGTAGCAGGATATAACACTAATATTCAGAAATTGTTTGCATCTGTATACACCAATAATAAACTATCAGAGAAATTAAGAAAACAATCCCATTTATAATTACATAAAAAACAAACAAGCCTAAGAATAAATTTAATCAAGGTGGTAAAGGGACTATATTGAAAAAAAATTATAAAACAGTAAAGAAAGAAATTAAGAAAGATACAAATAAATGGAAGCACATATTATGCTCATGCATAGGAAGAATTAATATCATTAAAATGTCCATACTACCCAATGCAATCTATAGTGTCAATGGCATCTTTTACAGAACTAGAATAAATAATACTAAAATTTACATGAAACCACAAAACACCATGGATTGCCCAAGAAATCTTGAAGAAGAAAATAAGTTGGAGTTATCATGCTACCTGATATCAAACGATAGTACAAGGCTATAGTAATAAAAACAGCATGGTGCTGGCAGGAAAACAGACACATAAGTCAATAAAACAAACAAAAAAAAACTCCAGAAAAAAATATATGCCTATATGATTAAGGCATCTGTGCCAAAGAAGGCAAGAATATACAATGGAATGAAGACAGTCTATTTAATAAATGGTTTTAGGAAAACTGTACAAACATATGCAAAAAAATTAAAATTGTGTCACAGTCTTTCACCATGTACATGAATAAACTCAAAACGGATTAAAGACAAATATGAAAACCAAAACCATAAAACTCCTAGAAGATTATTCAGGTAGCAGACGCTTTGACATTGTTCTTAGTAATATATATTTTTTTCTGATATATCTCATTGACCAGGAAAACAAAAGAAAGAATAAACAAATGGGACTACATCAAACTACAAAGTTTTTGTACAGCAAAGAAAAACCATCAACAGGTAGAACAAACAACCTACTGAATGTGTGAAGATACACACCTCATAAGGGGTTAATATCCAAAATTTATAAATACTGTAACTCATACAAGTTAACAAAACAAATGAATAATCCAATTAAAAAATGGACAGAGGATCTGAATAGATACTTTTCCAAAGAGGACATACGGTTGGCCAGTAGCAATATGAAAAAAGGCTCAATGTCACTAGTCATCAGAGATGCAAATTAAACCACAAGGAGACATCACCTCACACCTGTCTGAATGGCTCCATCAATAAATCAACAAACATGTTTTGGTGAGGGTGTGGAGATAAGGGTTAGCTTTTCTCCACACCCTCACCAACTGCTGGTGGGATTGCAAATTCATGTAGCCACTATGAAAATCATTACAGAGATTCCTCAAAAAAATTTAAAAAGACAACTATCTTATGACCCAGCAATTCCACTTCTGAGTATTTATCTCTATGTTCATTGCAATATTATTTACAATATCTACGATATGAATGCAAAATAAATGTCAGTCAATAAATGACTGGATAGCCCGGCTGGGAGTGGCTCAGCAGTTGAGCGTCAACCTGGGACCCAGGCGATGGGGGTTCAATTCCCGGTCAGGGCACATGCCCGGGTTGCGGGCTCAATCCCCAGTTGGGGGTGTGCAGGAGGCAGCTGATCAATGACTCTCTCATCATTGATGTTTCTATCTCTCTCCCTCTCCTTTCCTCTCTCTGAAATCAATAAAGATATATTTAAAAAAAAAAAAAAAAAAAAGATGATGCGCAGCATAAATACCATGGAATATTACTGGGACATAAGAAAAGAATGAAATCTTACCGTTTATGAAAACATGGATGGACCTAGAGGGTATTGTGCTGAGTGAAATAAGCCAGACAGAGAAAGACAAATACTGTACGATTTCACTTATATGTGGAATCTAAAAAACAAAATAAATGCACAAACAAAATGGAAACAGACTCGTAGACACGGACACCAAACTGAGGGTTGCCAGACTGCGGGAGGGTGAAGGGGCTGGGTAAACAAGCTAAAGGAATTAAGGACAGATTGGCAATTTCAAAGTAGCCACAGGGATGGGCAGTTCAGGAAAAGAGTCCATAATATTGTAACAATTATGTGTGGTGCCAGGTGGGCACTAGATTTTTGGGAGGGATCACTTCATAAGTTATATAAATGTGTAACTACTATGCTGTATGCCAGAAACTAATAATATAATATTGAGTTTCATCTGTAATTGGGGAAAAAAAAGAAAAAAAAAACCTGGTAAATAGAAGGCTGGGAAACAGGAAGGAATGGGGCAGGAGAAGACTAGTGACTACATGGGCAAACCAAAATCAGCAGCGCGTGCCTTACATACTTGTCAGTAGAAAGAGGGAATGGAACAAGAAGCAAACACGAAACATAACCTTGAGGTTGGTCACCTAATTGGCTCATTCATCTGCATTTTGGACTAAAATGGACACGGTTTGGACCTGACTGCAGGCAGGTTTCTGGATGCACATTATGCTCTGAAAGTCCGAGCGTCTAATTTATGGGTCTGAGAGGCTGCAGTGAGGTCGGGGTCATTGTCCTGCTTTCTCAGCCTTTTCCACTGCCCAGCAAAGCCCTGGTGACATGAAGTGTCCCTGCCACCGCTTTTCAGAGACTTGGGAACCACATGCAGTACTGGGTCCCAGCGCCCTCGGACCCCGGGCTGGCATCAGTGGTGTCCTCATAGGTGACAGCTCCCCATTAATCAATTCAAAAACTTTCTGGGGAGTCATTCTGGAAGACTAACCGGAGTCCACACCCTAAGTGCTGCCACAGCTTTGTAAGCAACCAGTTTCCTGTGTTGAAGTCATCCTTCCTTAAAATGCCCCCGGTTATTGTTTTCTCCAATGTACTGTGATTGAAAGAGTAAGAAAGGAGATGGAATCACAGGAAAAGTTGAACAAACAGAAAAGAAGGCAGAAACAAACTCAACCCTAGTAAGTAACCCAAAAAAGTAAAGGGAGTTACATTTGCCAATTTTTTTTTTTTTTTTTAATTCTCACCCAAGGATATTTTTTCCATTGCTTTTTCAGAAAGAGTGGAAGGGAGAGAGAGAAACATCGATGTCAGACAGACACATCGATTAGGTTGCCTCCCGCACACGCCCTGACCAGGGCAGGGATGGAGCCTGCAATCGAGGTACATGCCCTTGGCTGAAATTGAACCCAGGACCCTTCAGTCCGCTGTCCAACGCTCTAAACACTGGGACAAACTAGCCAGGGCATTTTTGCCAATTTATAAAACAGTTGGTTAAATTGGATATATTGCAAAATTCAATCTGTGTTTTCATAAGATCAGACATGAGACATAGAAAATAAATATTAAAAGGAAATATATGGCAAAAATAGACCAGGTAAATACTAACTAAAGTGAAACTGAATTGCTGTATTAATAACAGGCAAAGTAGAAATTACTCAAAGAACACAAAGAGAAATTAAAGTTTAAAAATAACACCAGTAATAAAAATTCTGTTAAATTCATCAATAAAGTTTCAATCTTCCCTGCAGTTAATAAACGCCTTCATCAGATATAAAATGAAAATATAGAGAACTTCCAGTAGAAAAAGAAATCCACTATTATAGAAGGAGATTTCTCCCCTTTCAATTGTCAATGAATTAGTAAGGAGAATAAGAGTTTGAGCACTCCAATAATTGGGGTTTTCTAATCCTTAATGTCTTTAGGTAAAAATTAAGTAAATTTAAGTAAAAATTTAAGTAAGCCTTTTAAATTAATAAATAAATTAGAAATTGAGTTAAAAATTACATAGTTTTTTTGTTAATTTGCCTTATTCAAGCTCTTATAATGTAGATGCAAGTGCCAGTTTCCAACCCCAACACACACATCTTAGCTTCTCCTGTACCAGAAATCTTAGTTCTAGGTCTTGGATATTATGGGTGCAAGAAGCTCCAGATGTGAATCACTTAATACCCCGATGAAAACATTTTATTCATTCATTTAGTTTAGCAAAGCCCACTGGAAAGGTGTGGGCTGGACTACAAACCTGTGACTTTGCCCAAGGTGAGTGACCTTACAGCCCTGAACTCCACTTCTGGGGAGAAGTTATAGCTGAGCCGGAGCTGCTCATCCACCTGCAGGGAAACAGAAACAAAGCACATCAACAAAGTGCACGCAAAGGCATGAGACGCCTCCTCTGAAAATAGCCCAGAACACACAGAGCACAGCCCTCTCTGGGCTTCCCCTGGGGAGATGAGAAATGTCTCATTAATTCTCCCACAATGCGCGCAAAACACCCCTTTCTTTCTTCTTGGCTGTCACACAAGTCTTCTCCCTGGGAAATTATGTACAGCTTTTACAGGTATTTATCTACCCACTGAGATTTTCTCAACAAATTCTTTGCTGCAAACAATCAAGCAAATAAAGCCTCCTTAGAAGCTAGGCGCATGCTGTGCAGGGTTAGCATAGAAGGGAAAACAGGCACTCACTCCCCATTTCCCCCCTCCTCCCCGCTTTGTCCTGAGAGCCATCACTGTTCCCTTTACTACATTAATTCTGACCTTGTCTCATTCAGGTGTGGACACTGGCGCATTTTCTTGAGCAAATATCTCAGTTTGACAAAAGTCTGATCCTGAGGAAGAGAGGCTAGTTGGATGGTTGCTACCTATATGAACCCTTCCTCAGAGGTGTAAGCAAAAGTCGCTCCTGGGATTCTTCAGGACTTTGTTGCTAGGATCATTTTTAGGAAACCCTCCCCAACTCAGCCACTGCTAACTCAGTTCCATCTCGTTACCCTCCTCCTCTTTCTAAGGCGGCATCCCCCCATCTGTTTCACCTTTTTCAGTCTAGTCAAACCCTACCAGTTTCCTTCAGACTCTAAATATATGATGATATCCCTGGAAAGGATTCTCAGTATCTTAAAGTTTACCTGTAAGAAGGAAAACCTAAGATGCTTTTATCTGGGTGCTGGCCCTGGCTCCCCTGGGGCAGTGGCTGATCAGACTAATAACCATTTTTGCAGCTCCCACTGCCACGACTTTCCCTCTGCACCAGCTTTCCACGCAGTGAGAAAGTCACGGGCTGTGACTTGTGTGTGTTGTTATATGCTTTATTACACTCCCATTTATGGAATTAGGCTGTAGTTATATTTGTTATTTATTGAACACTCGTTATAAGAGACACCGTGCTAAGGCATCTTTCAAAATGCATTCTTTTTTAGAACATTATGAAATAAGCAGTATCATCCCTGTTTCACAGACTGGGAATGGATACCATCCGGAGATCAACAGTGTCACGGAGCAGGCCCCGGTCACGTGGCCGCCCACACGCACTGTGGATTTGCTTTACCCTCCACACCTCTCTAGGCATTTGAGCAACTTTTAGACATTCACTGTGAGTTTTTATTTCTAAATTTCTACAATATTAGTTAACAAATATTTGAGTACCTCCTGTGTGCCAGACACTGTTTTAAGTGCTCCCAGAGTCCACCCCCTCCAGGAAGCTTTCCTTGATACCTCGCTTAGTTGAATTGTTCCTCTTTTGTCTAATGGTGCCTTTTTCTGCTCTAACCTTGCATTATGCTGCATCATAATGATCCACCTCTCTCCTCTCTCTCTCTCTTCCCTTCCCCACTAAACTATTGGCTTTATAAGAATATGGATATCTCATCAACACATGTTTTCTAAATGGCTTACTACAAAAAACAGGCAAAAGAATTCCTAGGACAGGTTTGCTGAGTGGTTAAAGAAACAGCCTGTATTGATTCCCTTTCTGTCTTGTGGGCTATGAAGACAGAGTTTGCCACACCCCCAGGATGCCTCGGCTGCCCTGGAGGTCCCACTCCCAGGATGTTTAACACTCAGGGATTCAGGCTGCCCGGCAGGAGTTTCCTCCCTGCGCTCCCTCAGAGCCCTGCTGGCCTTGCCTGTCCTCTGAAACTGCCCTTCCAGCCGGGTACAGGGGTGATTTGTTGTACAGGTTGGGGGGAGGCTAAAGTGAGTGGGAATTTCCTGCTGAGTGGAAAGCAGAAGAATTCAGAAAAATAAAGGTTTAGCTGAGATTCCTCTGGCTTCTGCCCTCGCCCCCTCCCCAGGCTCCACAAGGCCAGCTTCCTGTGGAGACAATCCCCTGGGCATTGACAGGCCCTGCTCAAATGTGACACATCGAAGAGCTAACTGTCCAAATACACAGTCATTCCTGTCCTGCTGCTCTGCTTGTGGGAACTTACCAGGTGACTAAAGACGGAGAGAGGGAGTAAGTGGCAATTAAAGGGTTTTTAGAAAAATAAGGATCTGTAGGTGTTTGGAGAGGAAGGAAGGATGCCTCAAAGGAGACTTGAGGCTACTGATGGAGTACAGATAGCTGGGAGATGGTCCGGACGTAACATGGGATGGTGGCACCTCAGCACTGGTTCAGGTACTGAGTTACCAGTTTGAAAATTTTAGCAAATGCATAAGGCAAAAGCAGTAAAAAAGGGGGAGTGCCACAAATATTTTATTTTTTGGCATTGATTGATTGATTGATTTTTTTAGAGACAGAGGAAGAGAAGGAAAGAGAGAGAGAGAAACATGGGTGTGAGAGAGAAACATCAACATTGACTGGTTGTCTCCAGCACACGCCCCAACCAAGGACAGAACGGGCAACCTGAGTATGTGCCCTGACCAGGAATGGGACCCGTCACCTTTGGTGTAGGGGGTGGTGCTCCAACCAACAGGACCACACTGGCCAGTGAATATATTTATTCCTAGGACTTCTACAGGCTGTCCCCCGAGAAGTATACACTACTAAAAGCTGATAGGTTAATAGATGTTTCTTTCCTTTCAAATTTAACTCATTGGAATTAATTGTTAATAGTATGCATACATTTTGGGGGATACCTTGTGTATGTGTGACATGGGCTAGGCCATCATTGTAGTATTCAGTGGGAGGTGCATCACTATGTTAGGCTTTTTAAGTTTTACTTTATGGTTTACTATTTTCTTATTATTAATTACAACTAGTGAGGCAGTGACAGTGAAGAACCATTGTCCTTCAGGCCTTTGGATGGCTGAAGGCTGTCAACAGTCCAAGAAGCATGACTAATCTCAGAATCTGGGATCCAGTCACTAGTTGAGATGGGGAAGGGAGGAAAACACCCCAGATTCCAGGCCTTATGCTTGGTTCCCTAGCTCTGCTCTTGCATATGATCTTTACGAGAACAGACTGAGCTCAGTTCCATTTGCAAACCCCCCTTTTTTGGACAGGTAAGTATGCTGAGGCTCAGAAAGGTGAGTAGCTGGCCCAAGACACATGTGTAAGTAAGGGAGCATGGATTCACACCCAGGCCTGTTGCACCCTGGGGATGCCTCTCTTGACCCTGAGATCTTCATCTCTCAAAGGAAGTAATTAGCTACTTGGTTTCAAAAAATGTTTGACACTTCCTTTATTCAGTTTTTCATTGTTCTGGCATTTTGCAAATGGGCTTAATCTGTTTAATGTCATAAGTTCATTTTATTTATTATTTATTTATTTATTTATTTATATTTTATTTTTTTATTTTTTGGACATTTTTCTTACTTCAAGTGCTGACCAAAACTCAAGAAAAGGTAAGTGTATCTACCCATAGTTTTGTTCTTTCTTCCTGGGTTTCCAAGATTCTTTTTTATCATTTCTGTTTCAGAAACTTCCTCTAGTCATTCTTTTAGTATAGATCTGCTGGTGACAAATTCCCTTCAATTTTCTTTGTTTGGCAAAATACTTTATTTCCTATTAATTTCTGAAGCATAATTTTGCCAGATATAGAATCTGGGATTGACAGTTTTTGTTTTTTTTTCCTTTAAGCACTTAAATCATGGCCTCCTTGATTTCTAATGAGGCATCTGCTGTTATTAGAATTGCTTCTCCCTTATAGATGAGGTTTTCATTTCTCTCTTGCTGTGTTTAAGATTTTTTTCTTTGTTATTAGTTTTCAGAAGTTTGATTGCACTCATAAGTGCATTTTAAATAGGGGCATTCAAGTTCACCTTCCCAACCAAGGCATTTTTCCAGGCACCTGTGTCTTAAAAAACACTAACCCCATGACAATTCTCAGATCATTACCAGGAGTTCTTGCTTCTGGCTACAGACCCAGCCCCAAGGTCTTCTTCTTATCATCAGAGAGAAAAGAGGGGAGAGGCGACTCCGGACTCTGGGCCTGGGGATGGGAGAATCTGCTCTGAGTGCTGGTGCCTCCAGCTGGCTGCACAGAGTGAGGGTTGCCTGCCCCTCTCACTCACAGGCTCTAAGCGCTGCCGGAGACCCACTCCACGGGCCTGGGGAATGGAGGAGCAGGCGAGGCTGTCCTTTCTGTTTTAACTGAACAGCTTTTTCTAAGTGGGGAGGAAGGAGAGGAGGTTGAGCGAGAAAGGAGGGGGCCAGGGGGGCAAGTGTGTTATGTTACTGGGTTAACAAACAATTCTCTCTGCTCCCTTCAGTGCTTTGGAAATTGTCTGTCCTCAACCACCGTGTGCTTATTGTCACCTTATTAATTCACTGGTGGGAATGCTTTAGAGGGAGGAGAAGAGGAAACACCTTTTATTATTTTCTCAATGCCCTGTTTGTGTCTTTCATTTGTGGAAAAGAAGTCAGGAAACATACAGAGGAGGAAAAAGGCGTCTTGTATACAAATGCACACCAGGACCCATCCCAGATGCCCCTCAGGACCTTAGTCAAAACATCTTCAAACAGGAACTCATCATTCCCACCCCTCTCCTCCTTCAACCTGGCCTAGACTCAAATTTCCTCCTAAGATTTTCCCTCTTATTTAAAGAGTAAATGTTAGAGGTAAGCACATTAATTTATAATCACTCAGGGATTGTTATTTGTATTATATATTTGACAATTCATCCTGAACTTCCACCCAATCAAGAAAACCAACAGTCCACCTAGACTTCACTCATGGCCCATGTCCACACACCCATGGCCTTAGAAGGACAGAAGCCTTTCATGGACTCTGGAAGTAAAAGGAGGCCTGAGTGGGTACAAGGAGTTAGGGCAAAAATTGTAACAGGTGAGGTAGCAAGGGTGCTGGGTCATGGAGAGCCTCTTAGGCCACTGCAAGGTCTTTGGCTTTGGACAGAAGAGTACCACAATGTGTCCAATCTTTAACAGAATCACTCTGGCTATTGTGTTGAGAATAAACTTCAGAGAAACAAACAAAAATAAAGAAGCAGGGGTCCTTCCGTTAAAGGGCACCTATAACCTATAATAATCAAGGAAAGGATGAGAGTGGCTTGGAGCAGAGTAGAAGCTGTTGATCAACAGGATGTCGCATGTGAGAAAATGAGAGGAATCAGAGATGAAACCACAATTTAACATTGAGCAACTGCAAGAGTGGAGTAGCCTTAATTGAGATGGGAGAGGTCATGGAGAGTGGTGGGTATTTGGAGGAAGATTCTTAGCAACTCAGTTTTAATAGGTTACATTCAAGATATCTAAGTGAATCCACGTAGATATGTCAAGGAGGCAGTTGGATATATAGGTCCGGAATTCAGGGAAAGGACTGGTGTAGAGATACATTTGGGATTAATTCATCAGCGCACACATAGCATTTAAATATATGAGATCAGGTAGGTGAAATTAGCTACAGAATGAGTCCAGATAAGAAAGAGGGGGCTCTGAAGATGGAGTCCCGGGAGCTTCCAATGGTTAGAATTTAGAAGTTAAAGGGGGACCCACCAAAGAAATTAGAGACAGGAGGAAACACCAGGTGAAAGCCTGGCCTCCAAGCCTGATGAAAAACATCCCAAGAGCAGACAACAGGTGCTGTATCAAATGCTGATGAGAAGATGAATAAGGAAAGACCAGTGGATTTTGCAAGGTAAGGCCATTGGTGTCTTGAGAAATATTATTTTGCTGTAGCACAGGGAGAAAAATCATTTGTGTGGGTTTAGGAAATAGGAAAGGGAAATTCAGAGACCAAGCATATAAACAATATCTCCATGGATTTGAGCAATAAACTACAAGAGAAAATGAGGCAGTATATAAAGTCAGATAAGAGGATAGACATTTTCCTTCCCAGCCCCAGAGGAAGATTTTTAGTGTTTTGTTGTTTTTGTTGTTTATTATTTATGTAATATTTACATTATTTTATGCTTTGGGAAGCCATCCAATAGAACTGGAAAATGTTGAAAAGAGAAGGGAAAGGGATAATGCTGGAAGAATGTTTTTGAGTAAGTATGAAATTTGGCCCACGAGTGGTGGGTCAGGCCTTAGCTAGGGCCATTCATCTTTATATTCAACAACAGGACACAGAATGAGCACAAAGACACAGATGCAGGTAGGTGAGTAAATGTGGTGGTGAGAATATGTGGATATTGTCTTCTGAACACTAAATTTTCTCACAAGAAAGAAGAAAAAAGTCATCTGCTGAGAGTAAATATGCAGTTAAGATTGTTGGTGGTATAAGGATAAATGTGGAGCCTTAAAATTATCACCTAGGGGATCAAGAAAGTGGATGGATTAAAAAAAATAAGGGGTGACTGCTGGTAAGATTTAAGGGCTAACTTCAGGTCATGATTCTAAAAAAGATTATGTGGACTCTGCCAGTTGTCTATTGTGATGTGCCATCGTCTCCTGCCTCCTCTTTACACAAAGAATTTTGCACTGGAATTCTATGGAGTGCCTGCCACATACTATACTCTCCTAAACAGCTTTGCAAATGCTCACATGGATCACCTGCCTGAGCACTTTGCTCTCTCTTCTCCACCTAGCAATTCATAATCACCTTCAAGACTCCATTTAGTCCTAACTTCACCCAGAAATTTGGTACTGATGCCCAGTGCCTGCCTCCATGCTCTCATTTTACCTGGGCACATTTCTGTCTTAGCCCTTGCCAGTCTCTCACGATTTCCTCTTTACCCATATGTCTTCCCATTCATTATACTACAGTTCAGGAGTTATAAACTTAAGCAGGCATCAGAATCACCTGCTGACTCCCTTGCAAAGAAGTTTCTGATTAAGTTGATCTGTTGTGGGGCCCACGAATTTGCTTTTCTAACAAGGCCCCAGGTAATGCTGATGTTGGTGGAAAGGGAGTCGCACACTTTGAGAACCACTATGCAGTATTTTCAAAGACTGGGGCCAAATGTGGTTCATTTCTATCTCCAGAACTTGGTTCCACACTTAGCTTGGGATAGTAGCTCAAAAAAGTGTTATTGAGCATCCAGGGCATGTCTGGCTGAATGAAAAAAGGAAAATAATTTACCTGAATGGCAAGCTCTCTTCCCTCTCGGTTAATCTTCAAGTGGTGCAGCCTTCTATTGGCAAAGTTCTCTACTTCAATGGTGAACACATGGGTTTCTTCCTTACTCAGCTGATAGTGAACTTGTAAGCTTCCTTGAAAAGTAAATGTTAAAAATTAGAATTAAAAATAAGACCCATAAAGTGTAAAAGCATGATTAAATTGTATTTTAGTTGATCATTGCTATTCAATTAAATTGAAAATTTAAATTAAATCAAAGGAATCCATGTTTTAATTCTTTTATCATTTAAATTTTAAAAGATATGTTATTATTGTAGCATTTGGGCCCATAAAGAAATCTCTTACTATAGCTGCAAAATTAAAGTGTGTGTGTGTGTCTAGGGAGGGATGTTATCAGAAACCAAAATATCAGTTTGTAAAATAAAACAACCACAGTCTGTTTTGTAATTGGATTGTGAAAACTTTAATACGATAAAACATTGTTCCACTCTTTCTTTAATTCCTACCATATCCCATAACTCCTTATCTTTCTAATTGTTTTCATGAAATTTCAGAAAATATAATGTGAAGTAACCTAAGGCAGAAGAAAATATAATTTTGGGTTATAAGGCCATTACCTAACAGCCAGATAAGAGGAGAAGCTTCCTACAGTCAATCCTGGCTTTCCTGTTTGTTCTCTCCTTTTGAGAGAACAAACCATCAGAAATGTCCATCAGAAATGTCCAAATATTAATATTTTGGTTATTTTATCATTTAAATAATTAATAATAGCTCTCTATCATTAGCATATTTGGTACTAATAGGAGTTGGGCAAGGGGGGGCGGTTGTGCAGATGTGTGGACATTTGGCAAAGGGACCCTGGCTGCCTATCCTAAAGGAAACTTAAGGACCTATCTTGTGCGCTAGTTGTGGTTGGGTGGCATGCTCCTCAGGCTTCTTTTAATTTTAAGAATATGGGTGTTTTAATATTTAATTCAATCAAATAAACTTAATTAGCATATGATAATTATATATGAGACATAATTATAAGTATCACATTCCTTGAGGGAATTTGGAGTCTTTTATGATCCCACACTTTGGCTCATGAGTACACACATTCATATTCTGTATTTATTTGTCCATTTTAGAAATCACTTCCATTTTATACATATTTTTCTAATACCTGCCTCACAACCATTCATTTTAGATGTCAGTAATCTCAACAGGGACCCTGTTAAAGAATTCTGAAGCTTCCTTAACATCTCAATTTATGTCAAAAACACCTCAGTCAAGCAAATAAATACATAAATCAAATATTAACAGGCATAAAGGGAGATATTGACAGTAACACAATAATTGTAAGGTGTTTTAAAACCCCACTCACATCAATGAATAGATCATCCAGGCAGAATAGCAACAAGGAAACAGTGGCCTTAGCAACACATTAGAACTGATGGACTTAACACATATCTACAGAATATTATACCCTAAATCAGCAGAATGTACATTCTTTTCAAGTGTATCTGCAACATTTTCCAGAATATACCACATGGTAGGCCAGAAAACAAGCGCCAATAATTTTAAGAATATTGAAATCATATCATACATCTTCTTCATTATTGATGGTAAAAAAAAACCCATAAATCAATTATAATAATAAAATTGAAGAACACCACAAACACAAGGAAGCCAAACAACATATTATTAAACATCAATGGGTTAATAAAGTACTCAAGCAGAAACAAAAAATATTTTAAGACAAATGAAAATGGAAAAACAATGATCCAAAATCTTTGGGACACAGCAAAAGCAGTTAAAAGAAGGAAATTCATAGTGCTATAGGCCTACATCAAGAAACAAGAAAAATCTCAAATAAATAATCTAACCTTTACACATAAAGTAACTAGAAAATGAAGAACTGACAAAGTCCAAAGTGAGTAGAAGGAAGGAAATAAAGATCAGGGCATAAATAAATAAAATAGGGATAAAAAATCAATAGAAAAGATAAAAAACCTAAGAGCTAGTTTTTTGAAAAGATAAACAAATGGATAAACCTTTAGCTAGTCTTATAAGGAAATAAAGAGAGAGAGGGCCCAAATAAAATCAGAAATGAATGAGAAGTAATAACTAACAACACAGAAATACAAAGTATTGTAAAAGAATATTATGCACAAGTATACATCAACAAATTGGACGAGAAAAAATGAATAATATCCTAAAAACATGTAATCTTCTAAGACTGAATCAGTAAGAAACAGAAAACCTGATCCAATCTATTACTATAAAAAGGAAAATGAATCAGTAATCAAAAAAATCAAAAACATTCAACAAACTAAAGTCTAGGACCAGACAGCTTCACAGGTGAATTCAACAAAACATTCAAAAAACAGTTAATTGCTAGCCTCCTCAAATTATTTAAAAAAAACAAATAAGAGATGCAAATTAAAACCACAATGAGGTAGCACTTCACACCTGTCCGAATGGCTTCATCAACAAATCAATGAACTACAAGTACTAGCAAGGGTGTGGAGAAAAGGGCACCCTAGTACACTGCTGGTGGGAATGCAGACTGCTGCAGCCAGTATGGAGTTTCCTCCAAAGGTTAAAAATTGACTTGCCATTTGACCCAGTGATCCCACTTCTAGGAATATATCCTAAAGAACCCGAAACACCAGTTATAAAGAACTTATGCACCCCTATGTTTATAGCAGCACAATTTACAATAGCTAAGATCTGGAAGGAAACAGCCCAAGTGTCCATCAATAGATATGTGGATAAAAAAGTCGTGGCATGTTTATACCATGGAATACTATGCAGCTGTAAAAAAGAAATACTTTTTATCCTTTGGCACAGTATGGAGGGAACTAGAAAGTATTATGCTAAGTGAAATAAGCCAATCAGAGAAAGACAAATATCACATGATCTCACTTATATGTGGAATATAATAAACAAAATAAACTCATGAACAAAATGGATCCAGAGACATAGAAGCATGGAACAGACTGAGGGATCTCAGAGGGAAGGTGGGGAGGGGGGACTGGCTGGGGAGAGATTAATCAAAGAACTTATATGTTTCTAAGCATAACCCATGGACACAGACATTGGTATGGGGAAAGGCTGGAGTGGGGTGGATGTGGGGTGGAGGGCATCAATAGGGATAAAAAGGGGGCATCTGTAATATTTTCAACAATAAAGATAAATAAATTTAAAAATAAAAAAGAAGCATAACAGACATAACAAACTAAAAAAGACAAAAAAATAAAAACAAATAAGAAAGGCTTTCAAACTCATTCTATGATTCCAATGTTACCCTGATACCAAACCAGACAAAGATCCTACTAAATTAGAATATTATATGCCAATATTTCTAATAGAGATAGAAGCAAAAATTCTGAACAAAATATTAGCAACACAAATAGAGCAATACATTAAAGAGGCTGCAACATGGTCAAGTGTGATTTATTCTAGGAATTACAGATGCTTCAATATCCATAAATTAATTAATCAATGTGATATACCATACAAACAACATAAAGGGGAAAAATCATGACCATCTTAAAAGATTTAGAAAAGCATTTGCCAAAATTCAACATTTTTTTTATTTTATTATAAAATACTCAACAAAGTGGATATAGAAGGGACATAGGAAAGCCCATATATGACAAACCCACAACTAACATAATACTCAATGGCAAAAAGCTGAAAGCTTTTTCCCTAAGATCAGGAATAAGATAAGCATGTGTACTCTCATTACCCTTATTCAACATAATATTGGAAGTCAGAGCCGAGACAATCAGACAAGAAAAAGAAATAAAATGATTTAAATAGGAAATAAAGGGAATAAAAGTCTCACTATTTGCCGATGAAATGAAACTATATATTGAAAACCCTAAACATCCCAATAACAATTATTAGAACTAATAACTGAATAAAATAAAGTTACAGGATACTAAATTAACATTAAGATTTCTATTGTTTTCTATACAAAAATAATGAGTTATCAGTAAGAAAAAATAAGAAAAGAACCCCATTTACAATTGAATAAAAAACAGTAAAATACCTAGAAATAAATCAAAGAAGCTAAAGACTTGTGCTCTGCAACTATAAGTAATGAAAGAAAGTTAACAAGACACAAATGAATGAAAAGCTATACTGTGCTCATGTACTCAAAGAATTCACATTGTTAAATTGTCCATGCTACTCAAAGCAACCTACCAATTCAACACAATACCTATTAAAATACCAATGACATTTTCCACTAAAGACCCAGGATAGCCAAAGAAATCTTGGGAAAAAAGAACAAAGTTGGATGTATCAGACTCCCTGATTTCAAACTACATTACAAAACTATAGAAATCAAATTAGTATAGTATGGCACAAAAACAGACATATAGATCAATGGAGCTGAATAGACACCCCAGAAATAAGCCTAAGATTATGTGGTTAACTAATCTATGACAAAGAAGGCAATAATAGACAAGACAGTCTCTTCAATAAATGAGGTTGTGAAAACTAGACAGATATATGTAAAAAAATGAAACTAGACCATTTTCTTATACCATATACAAAAATAAACTCAAAACAAATGAAAGACTTAAATGCAGTAGCTGAAACTATACAACTCCTAGAAGAAAACCAAGGCAGTAAACTCCTGACATCCTTCTTAGCAATATTTACTTTTTAATATGTCTCCTTGGGCAAAGGCAACAAAAGCAAAAACAAGTGGAACTACAACAAACTAAAAAAAAACCTTTTGCACAGTGAAGAAAACCATCAATAAAATGTAAAGGCCACTTACGGACTGGGAATAGAACATTTGCAAATTATATATCTGGTAAGAAGTTACGTTACAAAATATATAAAGGACTCATACAACTCAATGTCAAAAAACAAACAATCCATTTAAAAAATAAGCAGAGGACCTGAATAGACATCTCTCCAAACAAGATATAGAGACGGCCAACAGACGCATGAAAAAATATTCAACATTACTAATTATAAGGGACATGCAAATCAGAACCATGGGATATTCCACACCTGATAGAATAGCTATTATCACAAAGAAAAAAATAACAAATGTCACTGATGTGGAGAAAAGGGAACCCTACTGCACCGTTGGGGGATTGCAAATCAGTGCAGCCACTATGGGAAAGAG